TTTTCCTTTTGTGTGTCCAGGCTTTAGGCCAAGATAAAGTCGGCTGTGAAAACATGATGCCGGGTAATGCCCGGACCATCTGTCAGTAAGCATCTCTTGAGTGGGTCGAATGCAGAGGAGAAATTACTAAAAAGACAGTGCAGCTACAATGAGTTTTGATTTTGCAGGGTTGAAGATGCATATTAAGTACAATACAGTGCCATAGTGATGTGCCAGTAGTGCAAATATACAGTATTTGTCTTTCTCTTAAAGGGATATGAGTGAATATAAATCAAGGCATGATTCGTCTAGAACTGAAAGTGCTCTTGTAAATAAAGCATGTTGTGTATGAGAGGTGTTACACCTAAGCCTTCTTAAAAAAATACAGCTGACTGAGATCCTTTATGGTCTGGGTGTTAACAGACCAGTCTGACCTGCTGCCCAGGTGCACTGGAGAAAGAAACTGTGGGACTATGCCATGTCAACATCCTCCCAGGATGGAAACCAGGGTGAAAGGTTCCTCTTCCTACTGATATCCAACATCATCTCATTTGTTTTTTTCCCACATTGCATCACTAATCATTTCTCTGCACTCACCCTTCTCTCACACGTCTCACATTTCCAAAAATCACATATCCATCATCTGAGTACTCCCATAAGTGACTATCCAATGTTGTATTTAAAATCTGTTGTGTAAAAAGAGTAAACAGGAAGGGAGCCATGATGTCCCTCTAGGGGATGGGGTCGAGATAACTGCTCACATGATCTGAAAAGGTCAGGCAGTCAGAGAGGTGTGAAAATGAGGTCAGCTTTTATTTTATGTTGGCAAAAGGCGTTTAAGCGTCTGGTTTTCAATTACTGATAAATTAGACAGTGGTGAAACATTAAATGAACGACTGCAAGTTGAAAGTGGGACAACACTCCCGTGTAAAAAGAGTAAACAGGAAGGGAGCCATGATGTCCCTCTAGGGGATGGGGTCGAGATAACTGCTCACATGATCTGAAAAGGTCAGGCAGTCAGAGAGGTGTGAAAATGAGGTCAGCTTTTATTTTATGTTGGCAAAAGGCGTTTAAGCGTCTGGTTTTCAATTACTGATAAATTAGACAGTGGAGAAACATTAAATGAACGACTGCAAGTTGAAAGTGGGACAACACTCCCCCCTATTTGCTGAGTATCTGACACAGCACCCGATTAGTTTGTTTTTAACTGGACTTGTTTTCATCTTTTCTTTTTAAACGATGTTGTCAAATACTGTAACAGTAGTGGTCATTAGTTATAATACTAATAGGCAACACATCTGTATTGACACTGTTGTACTTGTATTATTGCATTTAATTGTGTAAAGTACTATATGATGTCACACTCAGAACACAATATGATAAGCCCATTCGAATATGATTTACGATTAGGTCATATAAAATATTATAGTATTACCTCAATTGTAGTTGTAGTATTATCAAAGAACATACAGTATATAAGCTTCTGCGGTTTAGTGGAAACTAAGAGCGCATTAAAATCAATGAAAAAGCTATTATACAATTTTGCATGTTCACATAATGACCAGTAGATAGAGCTGCGAGATTATGTGTAAATACAAATGTGCATGAACCCAAAATGTCTTTCAGTATACATATTATTTTACATACTACTGTATTTTGTCGAGCTTCTTTTTAAATACAGTGGCAAAGTTAGTTCAGCGGTTTCCCCTTATCTCTCTCAAGCCTCAGGGTGAGGCCTTGTCATCACCTGAGATTGAAATGTAAGATGTTACTGCAGTCAGCTCTTTCCCGTTATGACCCATAATTCCCATTGACGTATGATACCTGTTTCAGGATATGTTCTTCCTAAAATACATGTTAAAGGAATAGGGTATTGTGGCTAGCAGAGATACCCTCTCAGTGTGCATGCATGGGGCATGCGCACAGTGGATAAGAAAAAAATATATATATTTTTGATTAAGCATTTACATAAATTTTACAGCAGAATTGGAATTTACTGCAATTTGCAGTATTTTATTAAATTTAAACACATAAACTGCAGAAATAAAGTAGATATTAGGCTACACCATGGTTTGGCGGCTCTTAACGTGAAATAGTAGGTGATATATTTTACATGAGAAGTTCATGGCACTAAAATTATATGCTTTTGAGAGATGAATTCCTACAGTTGGAAAAAGGCAGGCAGATCTAAGGACTGCGTGCCTGAATATAGGATGTTTTCTGTGGAGCCTTCCTTCCTTAATGTAGCTATTAATAATTCACATTTCATGAAACGTATCAAGAGGGATAGGCTTACTACGAAAGAAAGCAAGAGACAGACAATTAGAGCGGACAGAACGAAAGGAAATGGCTTTGAAGAAAAATTCAAAGCCATTTCTTGTTATAGATTTGAAGAGAACTGCATAGTATGTACATCAATGTAACATATCAGTCTTAGGCCAAATGCAAAAAAAAAATAAAAAAATTCACTGCTAGGTAATTAGAATGTTATCCCACTAAGATAAAGAATGGTCTTATTTTCTGAAAGTCCAAGATATTTCACAGAAACAAGATATTGTTTCAGCGATATGGCTTCACAATCTGTCTCACACATTCTGTGCAAAATATAGTTTTGTAAATTGTGATGATGAGTGATGTGTCAAGTGGAATTTATGAACACATGCCCGCAGACTGAGGCAGGACAGTTGCTATTTGCACATACAGTTAGTCAGTCAGTCTGTTTCAGCCAGATGCCCAGGCCTTCACAACAGGGGCGGGCACCAGTAGGATGATTGTTAGTTATTGGCTGAGGACAGCTGCTGGCTGCTTAATTATTCATTGAGAGAAGGGCCAATTAGGAATTAGGAGTTAATTATTCAGGATGTTTATGGTGGAAGGAGAGGGCAGACATACCAGATGACCATGAATTTGTCTTGCTTTTAGCTTTTTCATGAAAGACACCAAGAATGTCATATGCATTTTTCACTCAAAAGTGTAAATGAGGAAGGATGCTGAACTATTGCACTTGCTCAAAATGTAATAAGAAATATAGTCAGCATTTTTCTTTTTTAAAGAGCACACAAATGGGTCAACA